TTTATCCTTCTTTGCTTGAGCAGTGAGCAGCAGCAACCAAATCCTACTATTTAAGGCTGGTTCCACATGATTGGGATCACCAAATAGATTTCCATCCAGCCAGTGCGTGAGATGTGAGCAGTGGCAGTGAACAGCGGCACGCCGGCGCCGTAGCAGTCCAAAATCTTTCCCTCCCCTGCGGCAAATTTCTGGAAATCTCTTCAATTTTTGTGAAAGTGAAATCGAGATTTCAAACGATTTTACGAAAAAATCGCCCTTTTACGTTTTTATCATCCGATTTTATGAAAATCCGATTTTAAAGTCGATTTTACTCAGCATCCATACCTAACATCGTAAAATCTTAAGATTTTACGATATAAAACGCGATTTTGACAACACTGGTTAGGACTCCACATTCGGCCGTATAAAGTGCAGTGCTTCTCTCCACTGTGCACCACTATTATCATCTCCATCTCCTATCTCTTCTAGCAAAATTTTTGTTTCCTCTCATGGAAAAACCAAGTTTATTCCTCTTCTTCCCTTTGCTTATCTTCTCCATATTCTCAGGTAACACAGGAAAACCTCCTTTTATGTCTTCCACTTAGAAAATGAAAGATTAAATTCACTACAAACTCGTTTATATCCTCAAAGAATTTCACCTCTAACTGAAATCCATCTCCCACTTGACAAACTTCAGGTCGTCAGCAGTGCGTCCGGGGTTGGACAGGAAACAGGCACCAGCCAACAGGCCGTTCAGTTTCTGTTTTCAAACCCAACAAGCTCTTCGTGTTCGGCGACTCGTATGCCGATACAGGGAACGACAACAAATCTCTGGTGAATTCCTGGAGTGTACCATATGGAATCACATTTCCCGGTAAACCGTCTGGTCGGTTCTCCGACGGCCGTGTATCTACCGATTTCATAGGTACCCCTCTGTTTCACTTTCTCGGTGATGATGTTTTTTTCTTAAGTTCAGCTTTTCCTTTTTTTTTTTGGTTAAATACTAATTTTGATCCCTTAATTTTATTAGTTTGCATTTTTTGGTCCTTATATTAGTTTTTGCACTTTTATAATCTTTCAACTTTAAAAAATGCACAATTTTGATATTTCCGTTAGTTTGGGCATTATCTCCATCCACGTGGTATTTTTTTATATATTTTTTGATGACATGGATGATGCAACATAATAAAAATGCTAAAATGAACAAAACTCAATGCCATGTCATATTCTTGCTCCTCAAACCCTCCAACAAAACCCTAGAATTCTCTTATCTCCACACCATTTGCAACATCGATCATAACACATATCTTCTTCTTCTCTTTTTTTAATGAAACCTTACGAGATTTAATGGAGGGAATTCGAGATGAGATTTGATGGAGTTGAGTTGCCTCTATGCAACATCTCTGTGATTGTGGTTTGAAATAAAAAAGAAATAAAAAATAATAAAATTATGTTATTATCTCATCTCCCTCTCAATCCATCTTCTTCCTCGCTTTGCTCTAGTTGAGATTGAATCCAACATAATTTGGGTTTTATGTCATTGAACCCACTTGCTGGGTTACATTAAAGCCACTTGCTTGGTTTCATGAATCTATCAGATCTCATCAAATTAAATTAACCCCTCAATAAACAATGTCAATTAAATTTTAATCAAATTTTAACAAAAATACAATCAAATTATAAATCAACTTTCAAATTTATCAAAAACCAAGAATAAAAATCAAAAGAATGAAACTTGACAAACAACAGATCTAGGTTTTGTCGAACCCAGTAACGGAACCTAATTGATTTGGGTTTCACTGAACCTAACTGTGTTGGGTTCAACAAAACCCAAATCGACTAGGTTTCATCGAATCCAATTGCTGGGTTCAACGAAACCCAATCGATCTGGGTTCCACCGAACCCAACACAGTTAGGTTTCGAAGAGCTAGGCACACCACCAATTAATAACAAGGGCTAGGCAATGAAACCAAACGAAGGAGATCGTTAACCTTGACTCAAACAAACAACTCGGCCGAATCTGGGTTCAGTGATGGTCGGAGAGAAAGAAAGAGAAAGAAAGAAGAGAAGAAGATGGATCAAGAAGGTGAGGGTGATAAAGTCATTTTGTTTATTTTTATTTTTTATTAAAATATAAATATTCAAATGTGGCATTTTTATTTGTTTATGTAATATAATTATAAGATATATTATTGTCACATCATCAAAAAATTTAAAAAAAAATGTCACATGAAATTATTTAACAACTATGTCATACTTAACTGATGGAGGGACGAAAATTGTGCATCTCTTAGAATTAAAAGATTTAAAAAATGCAAAAAATAATAGAAAGATAAAAAAAGTGCAAACCAATAAAGTTGAGGGACCAAAATTAACATTTAAGTTTTTTCTTTTTTTCTTTTTCTTTCTTTTTCCTTTTCTTTTTGGGCAAACTAGAAATTTCATAACACAAGTGCATTCAATACACATTCAAAAGTTGGTTGTGTTATTAAAGAGATCGTTAAGAAAATCTTGGATGCTTTTCCCTCCATTATCATCAAACTTGAGATACTAGAGTTAGCTCTTACTCACAAATGTAAGATTTAATCTTTAATTTTTATATTTAAAGAAAATCAAAACCTTTTTGTTCTTTCTAAGAAAAGTTTTTTGAGTTGACTTGTTGCTTCATGAATATATTCATTTCAAAATTTTAAAATTTTAAAATTTTAAAATTTAATTGATTTAGTACCCGTTTGGTGGGACTGAAGTTTTTAATAAAAATTTTGTTGAAAAAAAATGGTTGTAGAAGTATTATTTTTGTAAATAAAAAAATAAGGATAAAATAAGAATAATATGTTAAAAAACTCCTATAGAAGCACCAATTTGATGCTTATGAGATTTACAATAAAATTGACAAAATATTAACTTGTGAGAAATTATAACATTTTTTATAAATTAATGTCTGATATAACTGAAATTTTTGAAATCCAAAATTTTTTTTTACCAATTATAACAAACATAACCTTAGTTTGTATGATAATTAATTTTTAAAATGAAAATTTTTCACTATATGACAAAATATTAATTATTGTAGAGTGAGGTGAAGCTAGGACCTAATAATAGGAACAATTCCTTCATTTATGGTGGGGCGCCTCATTGAAACAGGTGAATTGTTCATCAAATCTGGAGTCGAATCCCTAATTATTAATATTTAACAATACTAACATATTAATCATTACACTTATTAAAAAGCAAAAAAGAACAATTCCTTCATTTAATAACTGATGATTTACAAAACATTGGACTGTTAATTAAAAACGGCACATGGTGGAGCAGTGGTGGGTGAGTTCCCCTTCGTTGTTGGCTAGCTACTTATGCTCTTATGATAATTACTCATCTCTGGCTTGTTGCTTTTGCTCTGTTTAGACCGCATTATTTGAGCTGAGTTGGTGTCTATCTTTTTCTTGTTCTCAGCGTCACATCAGGCATCAGCATCTCATTTTTGTTTTTATTTTTTATTTTTTGTTTTTTTGTGTAATAAATATACATTTTTTAAGTATAAATTTATATTAAAAATATAAAAATTAATATTTAAATTATTAATTATTTAATTAAATTTATTTAT